GCCCCTCTTCAGCCAACTTGTCAGTGGTTATAGCAAGCAGTCCCGAAGAATTACAACAACTGATGGATCATATTGTCGAGTACAGTGAACTGCATGGTCTGTCTCTCTATGAATTTTACCAAAACCAAACTTCTTGTGTTCTCAAAAACAAGAAAAAGTGCAAATCTTGTCATTCACAGGAACACTATTGAGCAAGTATCATCTCTCAAATACCTCAGCACAATAATAAACGAACAATGTGATCAGTGTACAGAAATAAGAGCAAGGATCAAACAAGCCAGAACATCGTTTATGAATATGAAAAAGTTTTTGTTAGATCCGAATTGAGTTTATGTCTGAGGATTCGAATGTTAAGGTGCTACATCTTCTCCGTCCTGCTATATGGATGCAAAAGTTGGACTCTGGACCCCAAACTGAAAAAAGAATTGAAGCTTTTGAAATGTATTCGTACAGACAAACACTTTGAATATCATAGGTGCAAAAGATTACTAATGTTGAAGTCCTGAACTGCATGAACAAGCAAAAAGAACTCCTGCTGACCATCAAAATCAGGAAAACACAGTACATAGGTCATATAATGAGAAGAGAGAAATATCAAATACTTAGACTAATATTAGAGGGCAAAATACAAGGAAAAAGGTCTGCTGGGAGACCAAAGAATCAATGGTTAAAAGACATCACAAGGTGGTTTGGGCGTACATCTATGGAGATATTCCGAGCTGATATATCGAGGACAATGTTAGCTATATGGATCGCCAACCTTGGACAGGAGATGGCGCATTAAGAAGAAGAAAGTAGAAAGTAGTGAAAGTGATAACTCATTATAAATTCTGTAAAATAATAATATTCTAAGTCTATGGAAATAATCTCTTACAGATATATACTAAAGGTTAAAAATATACTTACTTTCTGCAAGAGGAACTGATATAACAACACCATTTCCTGTTCCCATCCATAATCGATTACATGATATAAGTAATGCTGTAATTCTAACAAAAGAAAACCCCAATTTTCCTGTACCTGTAAGAATGGAAAGTTTTCCTTTTAAAATGTATTTTATTATGCAGTATAAATTATTCTTTTGGAACATTTTAAGCTAATTGAAATACATACAAGATCTGATCAAAAAGTATCCAACCTTATTTTTTTTCATTGCAAGTATTTGCAAGCTGGAAGGAGACTATGTTGTCATGTCACTTTGGATCCTAATGCATGTATGTGAATTTTGGTAAGCCATCCTATTGTGCAGTTGCTGTCACGCAGCTGTGATAGTTGCATATATATGCTGTTATCACTGCATCAGTGATTTGGTAAAACATGCTGAATCCTGAGATTCAAGGAAAATTATAACCAGTGAGGAGACCTAAGTCTACAGTTATGACTTTGAGACAAAGGCACAATCATTCCAGTGGAAAATGCCATGATTTCCACAACAAAAGAAAGTAGGGCATTCACACAGCAATGTTAAGGTCCTGTTGACATGACCTTGTATGTTACTGTTTCTTTTGACTTCTAGGGTGCAGTTTATCGTGAATATGCCCATCTTGGAAAAACTGATAAAGGAGTACTACCTGCTAGGTGCAATAGACCACAGCTCTGGCAGTCTGGCAATTGGTGACAATCATGACAATGTTTTGTCCCATGGATTGTATCTCTTCAGACATTCCTTGTAAAACAGAGTATTGCACAAGTTCAGTAGTTTTCTTACTCCCTAGACGTAGCTCCTTCCCAAACTCAAGATGCCACTCTAAAGAAAGACATTTCAGGATGCAGAGGTGATCAAAACTAACACAAAAACAAGTATGATAGAGATCATGATAAATGAATTTGAAAAATGCTTCCAACAGTAGAAGCATTGCTGGGAGAAGTGTGTGAACTCAGAATGGGACTATTTTGAAGGGGACTAGTGTTTGAACCAAATAAATATGCAGGCATTTTTTCTGACCTCAGGTCAGATACTTTTTGATCAGAACATTTTAATTATGAACATGAAGCATTTTAATAAAAATTATCATTCATCATAAATTGAAATTACTAAATATACGACATTATAAAATATAGATTAAATAAATATATACTAAATTATATATTTTAAAATAAAATATCAAGAAATTCCTAACCATAAATATCAATTACTTCAATTATGTGATTAATGTATTTGGATAATGATATCAATAATAATCAATCAATAAAAAACAATAATAATTAAAATAGAAAAGTTTAAAACTGAAATTTTTAGTTTTAATAAAAGGAAAATTAAGTAAAAAAAATTATTTTAATTATTTTTTAAATATAAATAAAACAACAAAAACAAGTTTATTATTATTAAGCAGTGCAAACAAATGTTATGAAGTTCTCTCTTTAAAAATCAAAGAAACAACTTAATTAGTTTTTTGGTAGAAAGTTTGCTTATGTATGTTAATAAAAAATAAATGTAATACTAATTTATTCTAATAATTCTGTTGCAAAAAATTTTTTAGTTTATTTGAAGATAATAAATTTTACATTAATGTGATTTTATTTTAATGGATAGGAAAATCGAATTCTACCTTTCACTTGCAAAAAAATTAACTCATATTGGAAGACTGTGCATTCATAAAACATATATACCAGGTTGTTCAATAAGTTTGTTGTTCAATAAGAAAAACACGATTTTATTGTTTGAAATACATTTTATTATTCAATATAATCTCCCTGAACTTCAATACACTTGTTCCAGTGATCTTCTAATTTATGGATTCCATCCCTGAAGTGAGAATCTGGAAGCCTGTCGAAATACGCTTCCATGGCTGCTATTACCTCTTTGTTTGATGAAAATCATTTCCCACACACAAATTTTTTGAGATGTGAGAACAGCCAGAAGTCAGAGGGAGCTAAATCTGGCAAATAGGGTGGATGTTGCAACAATTCATATTTTAATTCACCAATTTTTGCGATGGTTTTTGAGCTGTGTGAGAGGGTGCATTGTCTTGATAAAAAATGATTTTTTTCTTCTGTAAACCAGATCTTTTCTCACAAATTTATACATCCAGCTGGTCCAAAAGGTTACAATAATAATCTGAGTTTATTGTTTTACCAGTTTGGAGGTAATCCATGAACAAAATTCCTTTTGCATCCAAAAAAAACTGATGCTAACACTGTCTTGGCCGATTTCTGCATCCTAACTTGCTTTGGAGCCAAAGTACCAGATTCACACCACTCCTTAGCCTCTTGTTTTGATTCAGGATCATAGTGGTAGACCAAAGTCTCATCCATAGTGATGAAACAACGCACAAAATCCTTTTTATGCTTTCTAAAATGCTCCAGATGTTGCTGAGAAAGTTGCATTTGAATGTGTTTTTGTTCCATTGTTAGCAAATGTGGCACCCATTGTGCACACAGCTTTCTGTAACCCAAAACTTCAGCCAAAATATTGCTCACACTGTCTAATGAGATTCCTAAGGCTTCTACTAAATCTCTCTCAGTTAATCAACGATCTTCCAAACCATATGCTGTATTTTTGCTATGATTTTTGGTGTTGATGCACTTTTTGGACGTCCTTCATGTGGATCATCTTCAAGACTTGTATGACTACGTTTAAATTCAGCAACCCATCTTTCTACTGTTCTAATTGAAGGTGAATAGCCCTTATACACTTTTAACAATTGTTCATGAAATTGTTTTGACCTTCCAAAAATAAGAATTTTATCACTGCACGATATTCAATTTTTTCCATTGTAAAAAAATACAGTGACACATCAACTTTGAATAGCTGTAAATATATGAATGAGTTGACACATCTACATCGAAACTTCACACTTGTTCATAAAAAAGTAGTACCATTTTTAGAGTAATAAAGCCGCAAACCTACTAGCGCCATCTCTTATTGAATGACAAAACTTATTGAACAACCTAGTATAAATCCTCTGCATTCCTAAGATTTTCAATATTTTCAGAAATTTTTATTCTCAAAATTTATAATCTCAAATATATAAGATAAATTAGCACACAAAATAAAAATAAAAGATGAGATTGACATAAATAGTTTACTGTTTTTAAATTTAGATAATCAGAATATTTAATCTTGAATTAAACAAACCATAAAAACATTCTATCCATAATTTAGTATGGACAGAATGCTAATTTTATTCTGAAATTCTACTTTGAAGTAGGATTAAATTTTGTAAAGAGATTTGGTTTTAGCATCACTGCTAAATTTCATAGTACAGTAAAAGTTGGTTAATCTAGTACAGTACCTATAGGACAGAGTGGTGCTGAATTGTCAAAAATATAAGATCATCAGACATTTTTGTATTTTTGCAAAATATGATAAGTTATATGCAATCTGAACATTGCTGTTCATTTTGCACAAATGCACACTGTTGTATGCTCAGAATTTAGCAATGTTTTTCTACTTTTGTAAAACTCTCTTTAATTAAAACATGATTTTTAATTAATTTGTCCCCTTAAAACTATTATTAATAACTTTTAAAGATCAGTTTCTTATCATTTCATTGAGATATTAGATAAATTATTTTTATCTTGACAGAAATCTGAAAATCAGAAATCTAAATATATTCTATATACAGTCGACCCCCCTATAACGTACGTTCCTATAACGACAATTCCTATAACGTAGCGAAAAAATTGTAGAAACTTTCGTATAATGTACCTCCTATAACGTCATTTCGCGAGAAGATTGATAGAGTCTGAACCAATAGTGGATGAGCAGCCGAACTACTTACCTCCGACCCTGCGCCACGCTACGGAGCGGCTAAATTGAGTTTGCTATCGTCTGTTTAGTATTATATATAAATTATATATAAATTAGGTACTGTACATATAATTATATATTAATTATATATAAATTAGGTACTGTATATATAATTATATATTAACTTAATTTATTGTAACTTTATTATAATTATATATATGCTTTCTGCCGCCTGGCAACACGCTACGGAGATTTTAGGCTAGTAAGTTGAGTTTATTATCGT